GTGATTTGCAGGTAACGATAACCCAAGCGTACGAGTTTGACATGGCCCATAGCGGTTATTATAAGTTGTAGTGTGTTCCATTTAGACTTGTGATAATTTTGATAATATAATGGTAACGAGTAATTTGTAGAAGGAAGGGGTAACACGAAGTAATTGACATGTAAAAGCAATTATTTCTTGATGGTTGAAATTATTATGAAAGGTGAAACTCACAGAGACTTGTGGCTATATAATAGCAAGTCATAACTCATACAACCAAAGGTTTCTTTTAAATAGAATGTATCTACCAGTAGACATGATTCAAGTACAATTAAAGACTACACAGAGTGCAAACAACAGCAGGAAACAAAGAAAAAAAAAACAAAAGCCAGACAAACATGCTTTTCCAAACAATCAACAAATAAACCAAAAAAATATGATGTGGGAGCTCTTCTGTGACACATGGCAGAGAGCATGTCATTTGAAATTAAACTCCACCAGAACAAGGTCTGTAAGGACATAACACGTTCAAGACAGCACAATCAGCACAGAGTAAAAGCAGCAGCAGCTATGACAATAGGAAGAGAATTTATGAATGTCATCACTGTCAGGCAATTTCTTCAAATGGCACATAAGAAGTTCAGTTAAAAAAAAATAAAAGGTATTGTGTGATAGGCAAACGGAAAAGAGTGGAGAGAACCAACGAGATAACCCTTGCATCAAGATTGCCATATTTCCCATCGAAATAACTAGTCTGGAAACGTGTAAATGCAACTCCAACTTTCAAATCCATCTCTTGGTGTGCATCTATAGACAATGCCTCATCTCTGTTGGGTTCAGCTAGGCTATTCATTTTCTTCAGAATGACTTTTTCAGTAACTGAAGATAATCGAGCAAGGTAAATTCTTCTATCATCGCTTGTGTGAAATCCAGTGCACACTATAACTGAACCAATAAGATAAAGCAAGAATACAGAATTATGACAAAAAAATATTCCAAAAAGCAGAACAAAAGCAACCAAACAAAGATTCAAAAAGTGGGCGATTTGAAGTTTTATCAAGTGATGTTGGTGCAGTTCATCAATTTGTCTATAAATAGACATATATACTCATTGTAGAATATTTGGTGGTTTTATATGCTGCTTAAATCCTGAATTTGTTTTGACCCTTTCAGGACCTCATGTTAGCTCGTTTTATCTGTCAATTCAGGGTATAGATCTTTTATATTTTTTTCACTTTGGGATAGTTTGATTCAAAAGCCTAGGTTCAGATCTCAAATCAATAGATTCATTGATTTGTAGAAAAGACATATTCTGAAATAGGTGTAAACTTTATAAAATCACATGTTGATGCTTCCAAAACAGTGAAATCAACCACTAAAAAATGACATGTCATTTCACAAGAGTGACATCAATGGGATCACTCATGATCCCTTGAGCTTCTGTACTTTTTCCTACTTTCTTATGATTTCTCCAATCCAAACAGAAAATCTAAAATTCCAAAATTTCTTTAGATTGATCATCCATTGTTCTCCTACCCCTTTAACCTTCGACAGTAAAGAAGCTACAAGAACTCAGATTCTAAGGTACTACTTAAAAAATCACCACCAAAAAACAGAGTTTTTTTGGTTATCAGGATGCCCTATGGGGTTGTAAATCCCACCTCATCAGTTGTTACTTGATGAGTTTTTTTTGGTGTGAATACAAAGTTACCTTATCAAAAAAAAAAAAAAAAAACAGAATTTTATTGTCATTGTTTTTAACTTCTTTTATTCTTAGTTTATCAACAAAAAATCTTAAGTATTTGAAACCAACACCAAACCATTAAATACTCTCCATATGGCATGGAGCTTGACGCATCTATCCAAGCCTATTCATCTAAGACCATTGTAACAAGTCTTTTCCTGCAATGAAATAATAATGTCACAATCAAAAAGTACCTTCAAAGCATATATTTTTTCCTTCACGATCACAGTCCAACGATAGCACCAAATGTGTACAACCACGAGCGTCCTGGCTTAGATGCCTACAAATATGAGCCTTGTATACGAAGGTCAGTCAGAATTTGCTATTGGATCAAAAAAACAAGTAAATATACAGATCATTGTAATATCTGATCTAAACAAAAGTAGATATCTCAAAAGTATAAGATGCAGCTTATATGCTTGAAACAAATGCAACCCAGCTGCATAAAGATGGTCTTAACCAAAAATACGATAAAAGCTATTCAAATGAAAAAATCTCTGGTAACTTTAGTAAACAGGAACAAGGAGAAATATTATCTTGGGGTTTGTTTCCTTCTTAAGTATCGGTGCCTGGAAAAGATCTGAAAGATTTGTAGTTGTCCAATCTGGAAAAGTTGCTGGAAAATCTACACTAGATTATCAGACACAGAAAATTCAGATTGAGTACTAGAACAAACCAACAAGTTATGGGATTAATTATAAAGAAAGCAATCACTGGAAGCTCAAGCAATGTTCTTACTATATCACAACATCAAGGACCAAAAAAAGTTTTCAAACATATACCTCAATAAAGATCTTACTGATTTATGGGGAAACTAAAGGAAAGGTTTGCAGTATTCAGAGTTAACAAAGTAATTTAACTTTTCAAAAGAAAAAGATGGAAGTAATCTCACTCCCACCTCAGATAAAGCCAGACCACGAAAGAATCTCACTTGGATGAAGCCTAGGATAAGGCTCCACATGGTTCCTCTTCTGTAGTAAGACGTGTACTTTGTCATTTGGTGTAATTCCAAATGCTCAATAGATTTCTTATTGACATTTAGAAAAATTAACATGTTGCACATGGATTATTACAGCTCACGCAACTGTAAGTTAGAAAGCAAGCCACAGGCTACATAATTTATTTTTATTTTTATTTCATGACAACGGAAACCCGCAACCGCTACCCTTTGGGTGCGCACAGGGTAAAACCCCCGCTCCTATGGCCATAGGCTACATAATATCGACCAGGTTGCACAATATATAGTCACACGGACAAATCGCTAGCACTCTATTCTCCATGGGTCAATATTTCTATTTAACTCCTAACTGAGGTGGCAATTGGGAGTGGCATCAAGAAAAGAAATAACTAAACATTTGCTATCCTTGGACATCAGCATTCAGCTCATGCATAGGATAGCACATCCTAACGGATTCAATTTTCAAAAGGATTCATCAGTTTTACATTCCACCTATCTCAAAAGAGGGTAAAGGCTTTCATTCCAACTAAATCGACCAAAAAGTCAATTGCCAATTTAATTTTCGCCCCACAAAAAAGCAGCCTCATACATATTTTTGAGTAGGAGCAGGACCTCAAAGGGAAAGAAGAGAACAAACATTAAACTAGAGAAATCGAAACAAAGTCACCAAAACATTGATGGAGAACATAATAATATAGATGCTGATTGAACAAACATATTTAACCACAGGAACTAACTGAACCAAAGCACATGTCAAAATTAATGCTTGTTATAATCTGGGATAACAGGAAACCTGAAAACATGACCAATCACTGAAGTCAGTTTATAATGTGCATGTGATCCAAGAAACATCGCATCGAACTCATGGACTTCTGTACTACCTCTTCGTGTTGACATCTGGGGCAAATATATAACAAAATTGCATGAACACTCAAAGTCTATGAAATAAAGAAGCAAGATAATAAAGCTGCTGGTGTAAAGCTAGAAGATTTTAATGATGCTTCTATTTTGAGAGTGTTGAGAGCCCATCAAAGGCACTGAGGATAACCAACTAGTAGATAAAACAATTACCCAAAAGGTACTGTTCAACACATTTACGTGAAGTACAAGAATGTCAAGAAGCATATCCACCAAATCGGTGCTTTCTAAAGAGAATAACGACATGAAAATAAGGGAGGAATCTAGTGAACTGAAAGCTGAAGCCATTACAAGAGAGTGCAGAAAACAAGCCAGCTTCGTGCATTAAAATAGAGCTCAATCACACTAGACAATTCAAAGTTGTTGATACTCCAAAAAACATTTTAAGAAACTATAATCTAATAGATACTCAACATAACTCCTGCCACAACTCCAGCTATTGCATTAGTTTTGGTTGTCAAAGTAGACTGTGAGCCGTGCACCATTACCAATTCTTTCTCTAAGCATGATTAGTCTTTCTCTAATAAACGTTGTAGTTGATATCTGAGGAAACCATTAAATTCAATTTTCAAATCATTTCATTTTGAGACTTTTGACCCCATGCTGCAAACACCTTCTTTCCCTTTCTCTCTTTCTTCTTCTCCTCACGAGTGTTTCCCCTAACTCTTCTTAAACCTTTGGATAACAAGAATAATGACTATTCCACTTACAACCAATTTCCCCCCTCCCACCGTAATCCTCACTAGTGGAAGCCTCAATTTCAGAAGATGTACATCCTACCATTGATATACTACAGCCTCTCTTATAGCAAATATTCAAACAACCTGCTACGTTCCCATTCTAACTTGAGTTCATACCCCTTGTACATAATGTATGGATGCAGCATCCAAAACTTTTCTGGCTTGAACATAGTGATTTGCAGGTAATGATCCACACAGAACCCAAGCGTACGAGTTTGACATGGCCCATAGCTGATATTATAAGTAGGAGTGTGTTCCATTTAGACTTGTGATAATTTTGATAATATAATGGTAACGAGTAATTTGTAGAAGAAAGGAGTAACACGAAGTAATTGACATGTAAAAGCAATTATTTCTTGATGGTTGATATTATTACGAAAGGTGAAACACAGAGACTTGTGGCTATATAATAGCAAGTCATAACTCATACAACCAAAGGTTTCTTTTAAATAGAATGTAACTACCAGTAGACATGATTCAAGTACAATTAAAGACTACACAGAGTGCAAACAACAGCAGGAAACAAAGAAAAAAAAAACAAAAGCCAGACAAACATGCTTTTCCAAACAATCAACAAATAATCCAAAAAAATATGATGTGGGAGCTCCTGTGACACATGGCAGAAAAAATGTCATTTGAAATTAAACGCCGCCAGAACAAGGTCTGTAAGGACATAACACGTTCAAGACAGCACAGAGTAGAAGCAGCAGCAGCTATGACGATAGGAAGAGAATTTATGAATGTCATTATTGTCAGGCAATTTTTCAAATGACACATAAAAAGTTCAGTTTAAAAAAATAAAGGTATTGTGTGATAGGCAAACGGAAAAGAGTGGAGAGAACCAACGAGATAACTCTTGCATCAAGATTGCCATATTTCCCATTGAAATGACTAGTCTGGAAACGTGTAAATGCAACTCCAACTTTCAAATCAATCTCTTGGCGTGCATCTACAGACAATGCCTCATCTCTGTTGCGTTCAGCTAGGCTATTCATTGCCTTCAGAATATCTTTTTCAGTAACAGAAGAGAATCGAGCACGGTAAATTCTTCTACCATCGCTTGTGTGAAATCCAGTGCACACTATAACTGAACCAATAAGATAAAGCAAGAATACAGAATTATGACAAAAAAATAATCCAAAAAGAAGAACAAAAGCAACCAAATAAAGATTCAAAAAGCGGGCGATTTGAAGTTTTATCAAGTGATGTTGGTGCAGTTCATCAATTTGTCTATAAATAGACATATATACTCATTGTAGAATATTTGGTGGTTTATATGCTGCTTAAATCCTGAAATTGTTTTGACCCTTTCAGGACCTCATGTTAGCTTTTATCTGTCAATTCAGGGTATAGATCTTTTATATTTTTCACTTTGGGATAGTTTGATTCAAAAGCCTAGGTTCAGATCTCAAATCAATATATTCATTGATTTGTAGAAAAGACATATTCTGAAATAGGTGTAAACTTTATAAAATCACATGTTGATGATTCCAAAACAGTGAAATCAACCACTAAAATATGACATGTCATTTCGCAAGAGTGACATCAATGGGATCACGCATGATCCCTTGAGCTTCTGTACTTTTTCCTACTTTCGTATGATTTCTTCAATCCAAACAAAAAACCTAAAATTCCAAAACTTCTTCGGATTGATCATCCATTGTTCTCCCACCCCTTTAACCTTCGACAGTAAAGAAGCTACAAGAACTCTGATTCTAAGGCACTACTTAAAAAACCACCACCAAAAAACAGAACTTTATTGTCATTGTTTTTAACTTCTTTTATTCTTAGTTTATCAACAAAAAATCTTAAGTATTTGAAACCAACACCAAACCATTAAATGCTCTCCATATGGCATGGAGCTTGACACATTTATCCAAGCCTATTCATCTAAGACCATTGTAACAAGTCTTTGCCTGCAATAAAATAATAAGGTCACAATCAAAAAGTACCTTCAAAGCATATATTTTTTCCTTCACGATCACAGTCCAACCATAGCACCAAATGTGTACAACCACAAGCGTCCTGGCTTAGATGCCTACAAATATGAGCCTTGTATACGAAGGTCGGTGAGAATTTGCTATTGAAACAAAAGAACAAATAAATATACAGATCATTGTAATATCTGATCTAAACAAAAGTAGATATCTCAAAAGTATAAGATGCAGCTTATATGCTTGAAACAAATGCAACCCAGCTGCATAAAGATGGTCTTAACCAAAAATACGATAAAAGCTATTCAAATGGAAAAATCTCTGTTAACTTAAGTAAACAGGAACAGGAGAAATATTATCTTGGGGTTTGTTTCCTTCTTAAGTATTGGTGCCTGGAAATGATCTGAAGGATTTATAGTTATCCCATCAGGAAAAGTTGCTGGAAAATCTACACTAGATTATCAGACACAGAAAATTCAGATTGAATACTAGAACAAACCAAGTTATGGGATTAATATAAAGAAAGCAATCGCTGGAAGCTCAAGCAATGTTCTTACGATATCACAACATCAAGGACCAAAAAAAGTTTTCAAACATATAACCTCAATTAAAATCTTACTGATTTATGGGAAAACTAAAGGAAAGGTTTGCAGTATTCAAAGATAACAAAGTAATTTAACTTTTCAAAAGAAAAAGATGGAAGTAATCTCACTCCCACCTCAGATAAAGCCAGACCACAAAAGAATCTCACTTGGATGAAGCCTAGGATAAGGCTCCACATGGTTCCTTTTCTGTAGTAAGTCATGTGTACTTCTTCTTTTGGTGTAATTCCAAATGCTCAATAGATTTCTTATTGACATTTAGAAAAATTAACATGTTGCACATGGATTATTACAGCTCACACAACTGTAAGTTAGAAAGCAAGCCACAGGCTACATAATTTTTTTTAATTTTTATTTGATGACAAGGGAAACCCGCAGCCGCTACCCTTTGGGTGCGCACAAGGTAAAACCCCCACTCCTATGGCCACAGGCTACATAATTTTTTTTTTATTTTTATTTGATGACAAGGGAAACCCGCAGCCACTACCCTTTGGGTGCGCACAGGGTAAAACCCCCGCTCCTATGGCCACAGGCTACATAATATCGACCAGGTTGCGCAATCTATAGTCACACGGACAAATCGCTAGCATTCTATTCTCCATGGGTCTATATTTCTATGTAACTCCTAACTAAGGAGGCAATTGGGAGTGGCATCAAGAAAAGAAATAACTAAACATTTGCTATCCTTGGACATCAACATTCAGCTCATGCATAGGATAGCACATCCTAACGGATTCAATTTTCAAAAGGATTCATCAGTTTTACATTCCACCTATCTCAAAAGAGGGTAAAGGCTTTCATTCCAACTAAATCGACCAAAAAGTCAATTGCCAATTTAATTTTCGCCCACCAAAAAGCAGCCTCATACATATTTTTGAGTTGGAGCAGGAGCTCAAAGGGAATGAAGAGAACAAACATCAAACTAGAGAAATCGAAACAAAGTCACCAAAACATTGACGGAGAACATAATAATATAGATGTTGATTGAACAAACTTATTTAACCACAGGAACTAATTTATTGGCAACAGAAGGTTGGTTATGATTAGTTTGAGAATGATGAGTTTTTTTTCTCTTGAAACAAATTTAAAAAAAAAAAAACGAAACTTGGTGCAAAAAAACTTGGCAGCCATGCATCACCTTTGGGAGTTCAATTATGGGTATCTCCATCTAGTGGTAGGCTTCACCACATATTTCTATACCATTGCACACTTCATGCATGTAACGTACGATATTGCAGGAAAAGACATATTGTTGAGATTAGTAGTGTAGGTTCTTGCTTACCTTTTGAACGGAGAATTGTTAGTTAGAGCCTTGGCTTTGAGCTTGACTGTTGTGTTGTGTTTCTGTAGATACGTGATGTATTCTACTCCTGAAGTACCTGAGCATCGTAAAAAAGAGTTGGAGTGGTTGCCTTGCTGATGTGAAAGAGGACTAATTTTATAGTATCTCATAAATTGTGTCATTTGGTGAGTCTTTGATTCACATTTATTCTAGCTTGTCTTATAACCGTATCAATGAGAAAAAACAAAGTATTTAGATGTCATTTGTCCACTTTTTCACATTTTGATAAATATTCTAGCCCCATCCCTAATTATTTTCTATTGCAATCAATCACCATTTTTGTCTTTTCATAAAGTTAACTACATTGAGATATGACGAACCATGGGCTTGAGATGTATTTCCCAATTTATTCACTTTGCTTTGTTAATGCATCCAAAGCTTTCAATTTTAATAGACATAATATTTTCAGGGGATATTTATCTATATATGCACCATTTGTTCAACTAATTTACAATATGTATATATATACATACACCTCTAACGAGAACCTTCTAATTAGCAAGGTAATCGCTCCACCTCCTTTTTACGATGAGCTAGTACTTCAGGACCATATTATGTTACGTATCTATATAAACTAAAATCGAAGCTAAAGCTCTAACTAACAATTCTACATTTAAGGGGGAAGCTATGGACCGTACTATGGTATACTAAGGATGGTCAAGTGACTCTTTTCGTCAGGAATATATCATATCATATTTTCATAAGCATATTAAGTTTCATATTTTTAACACCCTTAGAAACAACAAGTGGAAGTAGCCCAGTGATTCGAGGCCTTGAAAAGCCAAGGTGTAGGAGCACGGGTTCAAGTCTCAGTAGTTGTGTTGGCCTTTAAGCCCCTTTTTTTATATTTTAAAAAGAACTTTAGTAAATAAAGTTTTTAATATATAAATTTTCTAAATATCATATAATTGATATATAACTTTTATAAGATTGAAAGAAAAAAATTTAAAATTTTAAATTTAAAATGCCTACATAAACTAACTAAAGTTTCTATAGCAGTAGCGTCGCCACCTTAAACCCTAAGCATCACCGATCACTATCCAGTGGCCATGGCCACCAGTTTACCAGGTCAACCCCCCACAGGGATGGATCAGCAGCCTAATGACACTAATGCTCCACCGAAACCAAGTTATGCTGCAATGCTACGGCCTGTACAGACTGTAGCAAAACCCATTGCCTATCTCCATGGAGAACCTAGAATAATTTGGGAGGAGGAAGAAGTTGAGCAGATGATCATTAAAGAGAATCTGGCATATGCAGTAGTTGGAAAATTCTCGTATGGCTGGCCAAACATACAAGATTTGAGGAAAATCATACCGAAACAATGTGAACTAAAAAACGAGTGCAACATAGGATTACTGAGTAATAGGCACGTATTGATTAGAGCATCATGTTTGGAAGACTATGTGAGCTTATTGTCAAAGCCGGTTTTTTATCTTATGCACAAAGGATGGTCATATCCCATGAGAACATGGAAGTGGGAGCCCATGTTCGATCCGTTGGAAGAAACCTCAACTGCCATTGCCTGGATATCGTTCCCGTCATTACCTCCTAATTTTTTTGTCAAGGAAGCTGTATTTTCATTAGCTGCTGCAGTGGGGAAGCCATTACAAGTAGACCTAGCAACAAAAAATCAAACGAGGCCTAGTTGTGCTAGGGTGAAGGTCGAGGTAGATCTCCAAAGGGAATTCCCAAAAAGAACCAATGTAGGGCTTAGGAGGCAATCAGGGGAGGTATCAGAAAAATGGATAAAGATCAAATACGATTATGTACCGACATATTGCAAGAGCTGCAAAATCCAGGGTCATAATGAGCAGCAATGCTATGTTATACATCCAGAGCTCTATCCTAAGAAGGATGGGGAGGATGGGGAGAAGAATAAAAAAGAAGGGGAAGTACAGGAAGGAGAAACAGGGAAGAAGCACATGATTATGGTGCAACAAAGTTTGAGAACTCAGGAACAGTACAAGGAGCAGAAAATTACTAATGGAGGCATGTGGAGAAAAGAAGGAAGAGGAAAGCCTGAACAAATTTGGAACAAAAAAAGTACTCAGCAAAATGTGGTGAGCACGGACAACAAGTTTGAAGCCTTGGCGGACTCAGAGAAGAAACCAGCGATAGATGCAGCACTGTTGGAAATTGAAACAGGTCAAGGCACTAAACACTGGGTTGAGAAAACCTTTGGCGAAAAAAAGTCGACCTTGGGAATGAACAGTGGGAAAAAAAGGTAGGAGCAACAAGCAGAAACAAAAACAAGATAATAAGATACCGAGGCTAAAGAAACAACATGTAGCAATAGAAATCTAAAAATAAGGAAAACAATAAGAATAATACTAAGATGAGAACATAGCTATTTTCATCAGTTCCATAGGTACACTTATGATGCAACAAAGATACTATATACTTTTAGTGCAATGTTGAACTTTAAACTGACATTAGTGCATTACGGAACTCAATCACTCAGTACTAATACAACATAAGCGAAGTTTACTGAGCAAGTAATCTCATATGTATATTTTCTAGTATTCAGAAGAAAAAGAGTAGGACAAGTTTTTAAAACTTTCTCAAGCAAGAAAATTGAGTGAAAATATTAAAGACAAAAGTGCGGATATGCGAGAGAACACTATAGTCAAAGAACAGAGGAAAACCTGATAAAACCTTGAGTATACAGACGCTCAGCCAATTACATAGTTAACTGGGGACCAAAACCCAGTGCACTTGAAGCTACCTGAAAATTTTGAAAATCAGAACCAGAAGATTTGATCCGAAGTAAGTGGAAGGAAAATATATATAAATCATTAAAGAAACATGTAAAGTCTCAAGGGTTTAGATCTATGGACTTCTGAGTACGAGGTCTTAGAAAGATAACAAAATATTGACCCGTATACATGAAAATACAAAAGATGGAACTTCATTTCTTCAACACATAAAGGGCATCTAGTTACTTGAAAGTCTAGAGCAGAGAAGAAGGCAACATCACGAACAATGACTCCAGGCAGAAACAGTTTAAGATGACACATGCTCTAGAATTGTGCTAAAAGAAACAATTTCTACTTTCACCTGGGAGTCACATGTTAATCAGACAAGCCTTTTAAGTTACAGATGTAGACAAACTTCAAATGTATAGACAAATTTCCTTGCTAGTAATGCATTGATGATTAATTAGCAGGATGTGATTGAGATGCTACTTAAGATATGAGTTTTGACAGGTCAACACTCATAAAAACATTAAATATGGGCAGTGGGCACTTGCAATCCACACCCTTGCCACATTGGCTTCTTTGTGCAATTTTATTTCTAGTATTTTAACAAATATGGAATCACAAAATCTATAAAAGAATCTCTTTGGTCTCAGTAAGCCACTATGTAGCTAATGATAGCGGATGAGATAACACGTGGCCGGTGCCAAATGTGGAAAAAACAACAAATAAAAGTTACCACACGCATTTCACTTTCAGAAAAGTTAAAACAGCTATAACCAGTGTGGAATCATGTAAACGCCTCCTACCTTGTTAATAGTGTGTATTAATGATGCCTCCGCACCCATGTCGGATCCTTCAAAAATGCATTAATTTTGGAAAGATTCGAGCAGCATAGAATAAAATACATCAATAATAAAAATAGGTAGCAAGCCTATATTACCAACCTTCAGAAGATTTACTGTGTTTAAACCAGAAGGACGAGCTTTGGATTCCAGTTTTTCAGATACACGAACAACTTTCATAATCCCATCCTCTATTATTCTGTTCCGAAACATTGCAGAAACCTATCAATTAAAAAGCTATTAGCAACAGAGGCATGAACTCAATATTTTGGGACAAAACCTCTTGAAAGGTCAAACTAGGAGGAACTCACATCAGCATCAAACAACCTGCTACGTTCCCATTCTAACTTGAGTTCATACCCCTTGTACATAATGTATGGATGCAGCATCCAAAACTTTTCTGGCTTGAACATAGTGATTTGCAGGTAACGATAACCCAAGCGTACGAGTTTGACATGGCCCATAGCTGAAATTATAAGTAGGAGTGTGTTCCATTTGGACTTGAGATAATTTTGATAATATAATGGTAACGAATAATTTGTAGAAGAAAGGAGTAACACGAAGTAATTGACATGTAAAAGCGATTATTTCTTGATGGTTGAAATTATTACGAAAGGTGAAACTCACAGAGACTTGTGGCTATATAATAGCAAGTCATAACTCACACAAACAAAGGTTTCTTTTAAATAGAATGTATCCACCATTAGACATGATTCAAGTACAATTGAAGACTACACAGAGAGTGCAAACAACAGCAGGAAACAAAGAAAAAAAAAACAAAAGCCAGACAAAGATGCTTTTCCAAACAATCAACAAATAAACCAAAAAAATATGATGTGGGAGCTCTTCTGTGACACATGGCAGAAAGCATGTCATTTGAAATTAAACTCCGCCAGAACAAGGTGTGTAAGGACATAACAGGTTCAAGACAGCACAATCAGCACAGAGTAGAAGCAGCAGCAACTATGACGATATGAAGAGAATTTATGAATGTCATTATTGTCAGGCAATTTCTCCAAATGACACATAAGAAGTTCAGTTAAAAATAAAATAAAGGTATTGTGTGATAGGCAAACGGAAAAGAGTGGAGAGAACCAACGAGATAACCCTTGCATCAAGATTGCCATATTTCCCATTGAAATGACTAGTCTGGAAACGTGTAAATGCAACTCCAACTTTCAAATCAATCTCTTGGCGTGCATCTACAGACAATGCCTCATCTCTGTTGGGTTCAGCTAGGCTATTCATTGCCTTCAGAATATCTTTTTCAGTAACAGAAGAGAATCGAGCACGGTAAATTCTTCTACCATTGCTTGTGTGAAATCCAGTGCACTCTATAACTGAACCAATAAGATAAAGCAAGAACAAAGAATTATGACCAAGAAATATTCCAAAAAGCAGAACAAAAGCAACCAAACAAAGGTTCAAAAAGTGGGCGATTTGAAGTTCTATCAAGTGATGTTGGTGCAGTTCGTCAATTTGTCTATAAATAGACATATATACTCGTTGTAGAATATTTGGTGGTTTTATATGCTGATTAAATCCTGAATTTGTTTTGACCCTTTCAGGGCCTCATGTTAGCTCCTTTTATCTGTCAATTCAGGGTATAGATCTTTTATATTTTCACTTTGGGATAGTTTGATTCAAAAGCCTAGGTTCAGATCTCAAATCAATAGATTCATTGATTTGTAGAAAAGACATATTCTGAAATAGGTGTGAGCTATATAAATCACATGTTGATGCTTCCAAAACAGTGAAATCAACCACCAAAAAATAACATGTCATTTCACAAGAGTGACGTCAACGGGATCACGCATGATCCCTTGAGCTTCTGTACTTTTTCCTACTGTCTTATGATTTTTTATTTTATTTTTTATGACAAGGGAAACCTGCAGCTGCTACCCTTTGGGTGCGCACAGGGTGACACCCCCGCTCCTATGCAATAGCTCGCAAACCACATAGGAGAGGTAACCCGCACTAGGCAATCCCGGTGCGAGGAGCTCAACCCTGAAGGCAAACCCCTTGTTTTCGCTGGCAAGGGGTTTCGAACTTGAGACCTCCAACATGGAAGTCCCAAGCCCAAACCATTGGGCCACCCCGAAGGGTTCCTACTGTCTTATGATTTCTTCAATCCAAACAGAAAATCTAAAATTCCAAAATTTCTTTAGATTGATCATCCATTGTTCTCCCACCCCTGAACTAGTCGGTATCAGTCATATGACTCTTTCATATTCATTCCGCTCAATTCAGGTTAATTGAGCAGAATAATTTTTAAAAAAAAATCAACTATGCCTTGTCAATAAAGATGCTAGCCGAGAAAAATTCCCACAGCTATTGGTATAATAAGTGTCACTAATCAAGTTTTATCAGCAGATAAATGAAGAATTTGCAAAATGAAAAGCATAAGCCTGCAAAATAACAGAATAAGTCAAAAAGGATTGTTTTGCTTCTTATCTATTTCGGATTTCCAAAAAAAATCAAAAGCACAAGACCAGATAGACTGGTAAATTCCAGTCAATAATGGGAAGTACAATAAAGCCAGAAAAATCATTTTCTAATTGTTGTGGGTTAACAGATATGCATGCTAGAATTCAGTCACTTAAAGAATAAAACATAATTAATTCAAGTCATTGGAGTTTGGAATAAGAACTTAAGGATATTTGCATAGTAATAAATGGAGAAGTTAAAAGCAATCAAGAACCACACCTTTGCCAGAGTCTCAAGGGATCCTAATTTACAATGGACGAGGGTTGAGGAGGGAGCTTTATGAATTTTATCAGCACCGGATCGAGAAGGAAAAGAACTAACTTGACCAGGACTAGCATTTGGCACAACAGGAACATTTATCCGGTTCGTAGAATATACCTGAAAGAAACAGCAAGCTCAGTGATCTGGCCATTTGCATTCCAAAATAACACAGGGAAACTAGAGATTTTCAGTAACTAAGAAACTACTCAAGAAGCTGGCCATTTCACCCCAAAATAACCAACAATCACACTGGCTAAATTGAAAATGCAATATCCTCATACACGTGCATTTATACCTATCAATTAAAAAGCTATTAACAACAGAGGCATGAACTCGATACTTAGGGACAAAACCTCTTGAAAGGTCAAACTAGAAGGAACTCACATCAGCATCAAACAACCTGCTACATTCCCATTCTGACTTTAGTTCATACCCCTTGTACATAATGTATGGATGCAGCATCCAAAACTTTTCTGGCTTGAACATAGTGATTTGCAGGTTATGATCCACACAGAACCCAAGTGTAGGAGTTTTGACATGGACCATAGCTGAAATTATAAATAATAGTGTGTTCCATTTAGATTTGTGATAATTTTGATAATATAATGGTAAAGAGTAATTTGCACAAGAAAGTAGTATCACAAAGTAATTGACATGTAAAAGAAATTATTTCTTGTTGGTTGATATTATTACGAAAGGTGAAATTAACAGAGACTTGTGGAGCAGAAAATTGTAACAGCATAATACAGTTGAAGAATGACTATATAATAGCAAGTCATAACACATACAAACACAGGTTTCTTTTAAATAGAATGTATCCACCAGTTGACATGATTTAAGTTCAATTGAAGACTACACGGAGAGTGCAAACAACAGCAAGAAACAAAGAAGAAATAAACAAATACCAGACAAACATGCTTTTCCAAACAATCAACAAATAAACCAGAAGAATACGATGTGGGAGCTCTTCTGTGACACACGGCAGAAAGCATGTCATTTGAAATTTAACTCCGCCAGAATAAGGTCTGTAAGGACATAACATGTTCAAGACAGCACAATCAGCACAGGCAGAATCAGCAGCAGCTATGACGATAGGAAGAGCACTTATGAATGTCATTATAGTCAGGTAATTTCTCCAAAATGATACTAAGAAGTTAAGTGGGGATAGGCAAACGCAAAAAAGTGGAGAGAACCAACGAGGTAACCCTTGCATCAAGATTGCCATATTTCCCATTGAATAGTTAGTCTAGAAACATGTAAATGCAACTCCAACTTTCAAATCGATCTCTTGGCGTGCACCTACAGCCAATGCCTCATCTCTGTTGGGTTTGGCTAGGCTATTCATTGCCTTCAGAATATCTTTTTCAGTAACAGAAGAGAATCGAGCACCGTAAATTCTTCTACAATCACTTCTGTGAAATCCAGTGCACTCTATTACTGAACCAATAAGTATAAAGCAAGAATAAAGAATTACGACAAAGAAATATTCCAAAAAGCAGAACTAAAGCAACTAAACAAAGATTCAAAAAGTTGGCGATTGGAAGTTCTATCAAGTGATATTGATGCAGTTCATCAATTATCTATAAATAGACATATATGCTCATTGTAGAATACTTGGTGGTTTTACATGCTGCTTAAATCCTGAATCTGTTTTGATCCTTTCATGGCCTCATGTTTGATTCAGAAGCCTAGGTTCAGATCTCAAACCAATAGATTCATTGATATTTAGAAAAGACTTATTCTGAAATAGGTGTTCAATTACCTCTGGCTATGTCTTTGTACTATTTATTAACTGCTACAATTCAATTCCCTGTTATAACATCAAATTCCACCTAGTCTCTCTATCTGTATTTGTTTCTTACATCTTTCTACTTCTTTCCTCTTCCCTGTATTTGCTACTAACTCTCTACCACATCAGTTAAGCAAACGGTGTTTATGACACTAAATTCTCATTCTCAGCTTATTTTATCCGGGATGGGATTGATAATGAGCAATGTGTCATGTTTGCTCTCCATATGGCATGAGCTTGACACATTTATCCAACACTATTCATCTAAGAATTTCACCATTGGACCAAGTGAAATAGTAATGTCACAATCAAAAAGTACTTTCAAAGCATATATTTTCTCCTTCAAGATCACAATCCAATCATAGCACCAAATGTGTACAACCACGAGCTTCCTGGCTTAGATGCCTAGAAATATGAGCCTTGAATATGAAGGTCAGTCAGAGTTTGCTATTTAAACAAAAGAACTAATAAAGGTACAAATCATTGTAATATCTGATCTAAACAAAGGTAGATATCTCAAAAGTACAAGATGCAAATGGAAAAATCTCTTGAAACAAATGCAACCCAGCTGCACAGGGATGGTCTTAGCCAAAAATACGATAAAAGCTATTCAAATGGAAAAATAGGAACAAGGAGAAGTATTACCTTTTGGTTTGTTTCCTTCTTAAGTATCGGTGCTTGGAAAAGATCTAAAGGATTTGTAGTTGTCCAATCTTGAAAAGCTGCTGGAAAATCTACGCTAGATTATCAGACACAGAAAATTCAGATTGAATACTAGAAAAAAAAACAAGAAATTACGGGTTTAAATGTAAAGAGAGCAATTGCAGGAAGCTCAAGCAATGTTCTTACTATACCACAACATCAAGGACCAAATGGCTACTTTTCTTTAGTAAGTCATGTGTACTTTATCTTTTGGTGTAATTCCAAATGCTCAACAAATTTTTCATTGAAATGAAGAAAAATTAAAATGTTACACATGGATTATTACAGTTCACACAACTGTAACTTAGAAATCATGCCACAGTTTACATAATGTCAACCAGGTTGGGCAATATAAAGCCACATGGACAAATCGCTAGCACTCTATTCTCCATGGATCTATATTTCTATTTAACTCCTAACTGAGTAGGCAATTGGGAGTGGTATCAAGAAAAGAAATAACTAAGCATTTGCTATCCTTGGACATCAGCTCATGCATAGGATAGCACATCCTAACGAATTCAATTTTCAAAAGGATTCATCAGTTTTACATTCCACCTATCTCAAAAGAGGGTACAGGCTTTCATTCCGACTAAATTGACCAAAAAGTTAATAATAACCAATTTAATTTTCACCCCATCAAAAAGCAGCCTCAGACATATTTTTGAGTTGGAGCCTCAGCCCCAGCCCCAATGCTGCAAACACCCTCTTTCCCTGTTCTCTCTTTCTTCTTTTCCTCACAAGTGTTTCCATTAACTCTTATTAAACCATTGGATAACAAGAATAATGACTATTCCACTTACAACCAATTTCCCCCTACCCACAAAAATTCTCACTAGTGGAAGCCTCATTTATCGAATCTGAAATTTCAGAAAACGTACACCCCTACCATTGATATCCTAAAGCATGTCTTATAGCATACTTTCAAAAGCCCCAGCAGAAAAGACTGGCAAAGATCTAGCAGTAGCTTCCCCTTAAAATATTGTCTTTCCCTTCAGAAAAATAATCAATCGAAATGTATAGTCTTCCGGTCAGTCTTAAATTGAATCAAAGCTAAAAACGAAAAAC